TATAATATGCACATTGTCGGTGTAAAATCTCCTACAATATGCTCATCACCTTTGATGCTATAATCAGTCGAAATTGTGATTTCATGGCCCTGTATCTGTTTGACTGGTTTTCCATCTGATTTTTGGACCCTGTTTTATACGACCCTGGAAATAAACAAGAAACAAAATATTTACATGGATACAAGATTAGACCAGTGAACTAAAGAATTCTGCCGCATTTTTCACAAACCATTTCTATGACTAGTCAAATCATTTATTTAACAAAGCCGAGTTCATATAATTCTGAAGTGAAGAAAAATGGAGAAATTAAAATACTATATACTTTTTCAGATGAAAATTGGAGAAATTAAATATTAGATACTTTTTCAGAATATGGGAAAGACGATAAACCAAGCAAGAAAATCTGATCTAAACTTAATAATAATGATAAAATACTTCTAAATATGTTAAAATATGAATTATACTTATCTTCCTCCCTTAATTAACATTTTGCAGACTTCAATCGTGAATCGGTGAAGCACTCTATCTCCAAATAAACGAGCTGCTTGATCTTTAGACTTGGAAAGAACAGGATTTATCTCATCTTCTTCACTTTACCATGTGGAAAGCGATGATACCCATAAGTCTTTTGTTAAAACTTGAAAACCTAATTATTTTATTGCCAACATCCTCAATTTTAAATCATCAAGAAAATTAATAAAGCGGAACATACCTTAATTTTTTGGGAATAATTCTTTAATACTGGATCTTGAATCTTAATTATTAGTTCTTTTGGTTTTTGAGTTTTTTATCTTAATTTTGGCTTCTTGCTCCATAATTTTGATTGTCTTATTCTTTGATTTAACTGTTCAAATCCTTCTTCTTCATTTTTTTTTTCAATCTTTGTTCTTGATTGTGGGTTTTAGATCTTTCTCTTCAATATGATTTCTATTATATTCTTATATCGATGGGATGACACAAAGAATGAGAAATTGCATATGAATTGAGCACCATAACCCCATTTATAATTTCTATATGTATTTGGCCAATCATCAAATACAATCCTAATGGATCAGGTCTTTACAATCTGGACGACACTTTATTTAGATGTCCTAACTCTTAACAATTTAACTTTTTTATTGGATCACTTTAATGGAGCTTAACTTTAAGATATCCTTATACACAATTAATGACATATGTAAGCTCACATGAAAAATTAATAAACCCAACAATCTCCTACTTGGGCCACATATATTACCTTATAAATGTGGACAACCTTATGATGTCAAAACTTTTGCTATCATAACCAAAAAGATCTTCGAGCAATTTCATCCGCTGATTATATCAATATAGGGTCAAAGCGATTTTCGTTACAAGTATCATAACTAAACTTGGTTACGTATATCAATACAATCAAATGACGTAGATCAAGTGTGGATGTGTAGCATGTAAATTACATGTAATGTGATCCAAACTTGTCTATTTCCAAAGGTCCTACCTTATTCATTAATGAGATATTCCATAAACTTTAATTAGAGTGGAACTGGATTGAAAAATCGAATATAAATAGATAAAAAGTATGTGTCTAAAATAGACAATATCTGAATACAAACTCCTACTAAATTGACATATCATCAAAAGATGCAACACCCATGTGAGCATTATGTTCATGAAAGACCTTGGGTGGTAGCCATTTAGTAAATGGATCCATGATTATAGAGTTTGTCCTTATATGCTTTATAGAAACCTAACCACTCTCAATTCTTTCCTTGACAACTAGGAACTTAATGTCTATAAA